TGTTGACCCCAAAAAATGAGCTCAACAGAATCCCCACCTCATCCCCTCCACGTGGACATCACCTGCACACTGAACACCCCGTTAGGAGGCAAAGGCCGCCGGTGGAGAAAAAGGTCCGGCGACCGTTCGCACTCCGACGGTCAAGTCAACTGCCGGACGAGGAAAATATAAGTGCAAGAGAGGAAGAGGGGAAGAGGATAGGGTTCGAGAACATACCTTAATTATGAAGTGGATTCACATATATATAGAAAATGGAAATGTAAATGGGTCACTGTTAATGGATCAAGTTTAGGCCCATAGGACATCATTCATGAGGAGCCTCAGTAGGCACTTCAAATAGCCTTTGGGGAGCCTCGGTTAGGCACTTCAAAGAGCCTCGGCTAAGCACTTAAGGAGCCTCGATTAAGCACTTGTTAAGGAGCCTCGATTAAACACTTGTTAAGCACTTCAGCTTAGCCACTGGGGAGCCTCGATTAAGCACTTGTTAAGCACTTCGGCTTAGCCACTTGGGGAGCCTCGATTAGGCACTCTTTAGGCACCTCGTCTAGCCACTTAAGGAGCCTCGATTAGGCTTCTTTAGGCACCTCGGTTAGGCACTCTTTAGACACCTCGTCTAGCCTCTTTAGGCACCTCGTCTAGCCACTTAAGGAGCCTCGGTTAGGCCTCTTTAGGCACCTCGGTTAGGCCCTCTTAGGCACCTCGGTTAGGCACTAAGGAGCCTCGGCTAGCCACTTGGTGAGCCCCGGTTATGCACTTTTAGGCACCTCGGCTAGGCTCATTTTCATGGGATAACATACACTAAGAAATATCAATCACATATTCTCACAGTAAAATATTTTGCATCTAAATTTAAGGTTTTTTTTTTTTTACTTTTTAATCATACATTCTCCAAAAGGTAAGGGATTGTTCTCTTCGTTTTTCAGTTTTGAATTCATTTTGGGTTTTGTATTTTGAATGCCCAATTTGAGATAGCTAAAAATGCGTGTTTTTTGTCATTTTGAAAAATTGTTTTCAAAAATAAAAAAATGAAGTTTTAGCTTGGCTTTAAGTTTTCTTTGTAAATGTTTTTAATACTTCGATTTTAAAAACATTTAAACAATTAATAACTCAAAATTTGACGCATAATGAAATATCAAACTTGTTGTACATTAAGAAATATCAATCACATATTCTCACAATAAAATATTTTGCATGTAAATTTAAGGTTTTTTTTTTTACTTTTTAATCATACATTCTCCAAAAGAATTGTTCTCTTCGTTTTTCAGTTTTGAATTCATTTTGGGTTTTGTATTTGGAATGTCCAATTTGAGATAGCTGAAAACGCGTGTTTTTTGTCATTTTGAAAAATTGTTTTCAAAAATAAAAAAATGAGATTTTAGCTTGGCTTTAACTTAAAATAGCCAAAACTACTTTTTTGGCGTTTTCCATTTTCTTTGTAAATTTTAAATTCGTTTATGGAAATTCGTTTCTGAAAATATGTAAGTAAACTTGTTTTTAGTATTTTCGAAAATTGAAAATAATCTGAAAACAGCAAAGAGAACGTGCCCTTATTATTCCAAAACTCTTCTTGTTTTTTTTTTTTTTCAAAAACTCATCAAGCACTGTTCAATTAGCAAAACTCTTAATCTTTGAAATTCTTCAAACTCGTTTTTAATCACATATTCTCACAATAAAATAATTTTACACGTAAATCAATATTTTTTCCCCAATTTTTAACTACAAATTATTTTTAAAAAATTACTTTCTACAAAATCTATTCCGAAAAAAGGTTCAAAATGAGACAAATGTGCATATTAAATTGCATGCAATTGCCAAGTGATTTAAAGTTGAACAAAATCTCCAAAGCACTTCACCTAAACATTAATAGAGGAGATTCAGAACCTAATTTTTGAAGGTTATAAACCCAAAATCAAATTATCTGAAAAGTTAGGGAGCCTACCCACAATTTTTTTCCCCCAATTTTTTGTTATGTAAATAATGAGAGATTTATAATTAATGTAAATTTTTTATTCATTATTCCGTTGCTGGAAACAGGAAAAGGTCAGTCGTCCTTTAAACAAGAAAAAATGTCCTTTGCTTAATTGAAAATTCTCCTCTTATTCCTTCAAAAACCCCCCAAACCACCAAAGACAAAGAAGCCAGATTTTCAAACTAGGGCTTTCATATTTCAATTCTATTTTAGTAGAAAAATGACTTCACCTAAACATTAATAGAGGAGATTCAGGACCTAATTTTTGAAGGTTATAAACCCATAATCAAGTTATCTGAAAAGTTAGGGAGCCTACCCACAATTTTTTTCCCCCAATATTTTGTTATGTAATAATGAGAGATTTATAATTAATGTAAATTTTTTATTCATTATTCCGTTGCTGGAAACAGGAAAAGTCAGTCGTCCTTTAAACAAGAAAAAATGTCCTTTGCTTAATTGAAAATTCTCCTCTTATTCCTTCAAAAAACCCCCAAACCACCAAACACAAAGAAGCCAGATTTTCATACTAGGGCTTTCATATTTCAATTCTCCAAACCAGGAACGTTCAGTAAATTGAATTTCGGTCGGTAATCCTGAAAATCCCAAGGGCGAGAATTAACGGCGAGCTTTAATTCCGTAAAGCTAGCCAAACCAGCCAAAAATGCAATTGTTCATCAGAAAACCCTCACCGCCTTACCCAATTTTCATCCTAATCGTTATTTTAACCACCCATTTCCTACCCACCGTCCGATCAAGCCCCAATTTCCTCAAATTACCCTCCGACCAAGAAGAAGATGGAAGTCTCTGCTCCTCAAATTTGAAACCCGATTTCTGCCCCGTAAAGTGCTTCCGACCAGATCCGGTATGCGGCGCCGATGGGGTGACCTACTGGTGCGGCTGCGCAGACGCGCATTGCGCGGGGACGCCCGTGAGGAAATTGGGGTTTTGTGAGGTAGGCAATGGCGGGTCGAGCCCGGTGGGCCAGGCCCTGTTGCTGGTTCACATGATTTGGCTCATATTGCTGGGAGTCTTCGTTTTGTTCGGGCTTCTTTGATTTTTTTGACGTTACATTTTATTCGGATTTTTCGATTATATTTGTATATTCCATGAGCTTATTATTATATTTTGTACGTGAGCAAAACATATTATGATTGATATTCTTGGAGTGCTTAAATATGATTTAGATTCTTTCTCTAATTTTGTGTTATTCATCTTAAGATTTCTCTCTCAAGTGTCTTAGCATTGTCATTATCTGCATTGAGAATTGCAATGCCGTCAGCTGTTAAATTTTGTCCTATAGGTAAAAAACCAACTCAATGTCATCAAGAAAGAAATGCACAATACTAGGACCATAACAATAGGTAACATTTTATCGAAATTGGCTTGCTCGACATCTACAAAGATGCAATTGTTATGGTAAAAATGTAGACGGAATCTCATATTTGACACAGGACTGCCTCCTCAAAAAGACACCACCATCTCTATATGATTGTCAATTCTTGGGTATTCTTTCTAGCCCATAAAATCAACATAATAAAACGATTTTTTGAAATTGGATGTTGAATCACTCAGTTTTCCTTCTTCGGGCTCTGTAGCGAGAAAACGGGTTCTCCAAGACGATCAGCGGGAGCAGGCTTAGCAGCCGTGGAACTCTCATCGCCAGTAGCCCAAGATGGATCTTGGTTCTTGTTTTCATCAGTTGATCCACCTTGTGAAACCTCGGGAAGCCCATTGCCAGAATTGTTGCCTATTAAGTTCTTGTATATAGCGAGGGCTTGAGCCATCATATTGGCAGGATTAGAAGCACTTGCTGGAAGCAGCATCGTTGTTCCCTAGATTAATGAAATAAGAAATCAATGCACAAATAATGGTCTTCCGTAGAAATTGTCAACTTAAAATACGATCGGATTACAAATATTATAAAGACCCATGGTTTACCTCCTTTGCAATCATACTAAAGGCCTGAAGATATTGTTCAGCAATTCTTAAACTAGCTGCCTGCAAAATCCACGAACGTCAAGATTATCAATTATGCACACAGTTCATAGCATCTTCGCAAATGATACATTGACCAAGTTAACCATATTTTATCGATATATCTATCAGCATGTAAATGCACCATATTACTGCTTGCAGGAAAAAAATAAAAAGAAGTACCATGATGCAAAAAAATTAGTTAAAAAATAAATAAATAAAATTCTTCATTTTTTTTCCTTCTGTTGGGGCCTGATATGGACAAGGAAATGGAAAAGGGAGGGAATTAGAAATTTCAGGAGGTAAGTGATGCAACATGGAAACAACTACAAGTCTACTCAAAATTAAGGCAAACGACTAGAAGATAGAGCTTGAGTTAACATAGATTTTAGTAGTTTTATCTGTTACGAGTATTGTTCATTAATTAGGAATTTGTTATTTATTCAGTGTTATCTATTACAAATCCTCTTAGATTGAAAAACCATTTTCTCTATATATAAAGGGACTTGGGTTTTCTTTTCCAAAAAAATTGATTATTATTAAATTGAATTACAGAATTGTCCTCTTCCTTTCTTCCTCTTCCATAATTTTCATTGCTAGACATTCTACATCAGTAAGCTACTGGCAGCAAATCAGGAAAACACATAGGATCGACACACACTGCTCAGTGCAAAAGAAGACTTGTTCATAGGACATCACATGATTCACATCAATTAACTTGCATGAATTTAAAAACCTCACCTCCACACCCCCATTTTCTTTTAGGGATTGTGACACCACGGCAAGTCCTTTTGCTGTTGCTTGAGCTCTAGCAAGGATTGCTTCCGCTTCTCCTGTTATTACATAATTTATGGGAGAGGAGACAATTCAGGATCAGAATATTATGTCACAAGAAAAATGGAAATTCAGAACTCCATGATGTACAGTACTGATGAACCAATTAGAAATCTGTAGAAACTATGGCGCACCAATTGCCAGAATGAATGACTAATGGACAATAGCATCTTCCAAAATTCATTTATATCACTTTATTTGATTTTGCAGGAATTGGGATGCTAGAGAAAAGAAGGCACCAATAGTCGACAATTTTTGACCTCGTCGAGGATAATTGATAAACGTATAGTCAATCATCCAGGATTAAACACGGAAGTAATTAGCTGCTTGCCAAAAATTGAAAGTTGAAACTTCTAATTTGGACATTGTAAGTTGTAACTAACCTAGAGCTCTGTTAACCTGGTCCAATTTTGCAGCTTCAGATGCAAGAATAACTGCATTCTTCCTTCCATCTGCAATATTAATATTTGCCTGCCTTTCTCCTGTTATATCAAACAACACATCATACTCATGAAAGACAAAGAATGGCCACAAAGGCATTCTGCATTCTGGGGGATTTCCAATGGTTTACAATAAAATCATGTAGGAATAAACATATTCTTGACAGGCTTAAGATATATTGCCGGCAAGGCGAGCAAGAGAAATTCAGAATTTGAGCAGCAGATAATAAAAACATTATAAACTTATTCAATTCATTGTATTGGAATTTCTTTCTTTTAGATGCAGTACCTTATTCAACTGTATAGTAGCAAAAACAAGCCATAACACCTCTCTATGGATAATAGGGTGATTCCTTCTAAGAGAAAACATGTTGTAGAAACTAAGCACATTGCCTCATTTTTGTTATTGGAACCTTTTTTCATTAGAGAAATTAACAGATATTTCTCCTTGCTAAGGGTCAGCAAAAGTGAAGTGAAGCTTGTCATTCAATAAGTCCTTTCCATGTTACTGGAGTATGTCAATGACTTGCCAATGAAAGAAAAGGAATTGTCACATGTGAACAAGATACCATATGTGACAATGATCAAAACCTCACTTGAAAGCTTGAGTCATTACAAATAACTTCTGGCTGAATGGTCCTCGAACATTTATATAATTTTTCAAATGGCAATCCTCCATATGGTACAATAAATTATATGCTAGATGCCATATTCTAAGACTGCACAAAAGGCTAAATGTGAATTACTCAATAGAAGAGATAGAAGTAAAACCAATTACCTTCAGACTCCAAAACCTGAGCTCTCCTTTTGCGCTCCGCTTCTGCCTGCATCTCCATTGCTGCCCTTACTCCACGTGGTGGAGATATATCCCCTGGAAAAGGAAAAAATTCAATAAGTAAATAAGCTGCCAAGGAAATCATGAGAAATTTTCTTAACCAAAGACATTTCAGCATGCAGGTCACTCACTTATCTCATAACGAAGACATTTCAAGCCCCAGTCTTTTGCAGCATCATTGATGGCTATCTGCCAGGAATGCAATTTTAAAGACATCAATACAAAACATTAAAAAAAAAAAAAAAAAAAA